TATAACTTACATTTGATGGTAAGGCCAATGTTCAAAAGTCAAATGAAATGGGATCTCATGTTACCTGAGGTCGAAGGGCTGCAACTGGCAATGAAATATTCTCAACCTTGGGTGGTACACAGCAAACAAACCAGGACGCCTACCCCCATGGGCTCCAGGAACAAAACGGAAAAGACAAGAGCCAACTACAAACCAACACAGTCACCTGCGTTCCCTCCTGTGGAGTTGTCTCCGTCACCTTTGTGTTAAAGGATTGAAAGGAAATTCCAATGAAATAGAAGAGATAATACTGAACATAGCTGCTGTAGAGCATAGATTGATTCCATTAAAATAACACTAGAATTTCTTCAGAGACTTAAAACCAGGAAGTGGCCTGCTTTCATTTTTTTCTCCCCCCAAGGAAGGAAAGGTTTATTTAGCTCAGAGTTTGTGGAGGTCTCAGTCCATAATCAGCTGGCTCCAAGGCAGGGTGGCACATGGCAGAGGGCAGCAGTTCATGTTGGCAGAAAACAGCAAAACAGCAAGAGCGAAAAGGGAGGAACAGCGACCTGCTTTCAGCGACCTGCTTTCATTTTTTAAATTTAAAACTATGATCTAGTGACTGCTGCTCATCAGCATGATTGCTGGCGCAATGTGCTCCTGACGATGACCACAAAGAGGCCCGGGACTGCGCCTGCAGCGTCCACCCTTTTTACTCCAATAGGAACCAAGGATCTATCTTACATACAATTTCTTACAAATAACCCTTTTTGAGATACATATTTTTTCAAACGAGAAGATCAAGAGATAGAAGAAAGTGGGAGGCAGGAGAGAGAAAAGGGATAAAAGAAGAATAGAGATGGTAGTACAGGGGGCTGGGGAGATAGCTCAGTGGCATAAGGACCTGCCTAGCAAGGGCAAGGTCCTGAGTTCAATCCCTGGTACCAAAACTAAAAATAAAAAAATAATAAAAATAAAAAAGAGATTTTATTACATGTTCCAACTCTCCACAAGGAAAGTAATCAAGTATTGCAAACAGGTACCAAGGAAAATAAAATTTAAAAAAATTAATAGCATCATAGACATGCAGAGCTATCAGAACAGCACCTGGCCAGAGAAAGACCACAGAGGGGCTTGTTAAATAAATAAATGGAGGTGGGGAGGGGACCAGAGAGGGAGCTCAGCAATAGAGCTCTCGGACAGCGATCCCAACACTGCAAAAAATAAATAAATAAGTAAACCAATCAATAAATAAACCCAGGTGTAGTTCAGTTGTATTGGTCAGCTTTTCAGTCGCTGGGACAAAATACCCGACACAAGTTTTTATTCAGTTTTGATTAGTACACGTTGACAGCATGTAATGATTACTTTCCTTGTAGGGATCGGTACACATACTAACACCTCTTCATTCTTCTTCTTTTTTTTTTTTTAAATTTTATTTATTTATGTGTGTGTGTGTGGCCAGCTACAACCCACCAGGGGGCGGGGCTGGCTGGCATGTGGTGCTGGGGGATTGAACCCCAGTCCCTGATGCTTTGCTAAGCTTGTTCTAAGTAGGTGCTTTAGACCACTGAGCCGTCTCACCAGCCCCTCTTCATTCTTCTTTTATCCCTTTTTCTTCTCTTCTTCCTCTTCTCTTCCATCTCTTTAAATAAGGAGCTACTTCTTGTTTTAAAAAGAAATCTCCCTATTTCCTATTAGATATCTTTTATTTTTGCTCTTTCTTCAAATTTCAACTTTCCCCTATAAGAGAAACCAGGTCATAATAAGCTCCTGCATCTGCCTTGTTTCAACCTAACATTTTGGCCTCGAGGTGCACTTCTTTTCCTACAAATGACTCAAGTTTATCCTTTTTTTTTCTTTTGTTTTTTAAGCAGAAGCAGGGATTGAACTCAGGCCCTTGTGCTTGCCAGGCAAGCGCTTATTCTACTGAGCCAACTCCGCAGCCCACATTTATCCCTTTTATGGCAATCCATGATGCACAAATACATTTTCTTTATCTACTCATCTGTTGAAGGACCTATAGGCTACTTCCAAGATCTAGCTATCAGGATTTGCGCCGCGATAAACACAGGTATGCCTGTGTCACTGTACTACCATGTCTTTAATTCTTTGGGGAAGATACCTAGAAGGAGAATATCCGGGTCAAACAGAATTTCTGGTTTTAATTTTTTAATTTTCTTTTTATTTCTGTCAGCAAATTGAGTTTCAGCATCAGGTGGTTTTAATTTTTTGAGAGATCTCCAACCTGCTTTCTACAGCGGTTGTGCTGGTTACATTCTTACCAACAATGCAGAAGAATTCTTTCCCCTTCAACCTTTCAACTATTCACTATATGATTTCTTGAAGACAGCTATTCTTTCTAGAATACGATGTAATTTATTTTACTTTATTTAGGGAGAAAGGGTCTCACTACATAGCTAGGCTGGCCTTGAACTCACTGTGTAGCCCAGGCTGGCCTTGAACTTTCTGTGACCCTCCTGCCTCAGCTTCCCAAATGCTGGGATCACTACCATGCCTGGGGTGCTGGGAGCGCACCACCATTCCCTGCATAGTTTCAGAGATTTCTGTCTATGGTTGGCGGGCTCTGAAGTAGAAACATCATAGCAGAAAACCACAGCAGAGAAAGGCTGCTCAAGTGATAGTGACTGGGAAGCAGAGAGAAGGAAGAGCCAGCGAGAAAGGCTCCCATCACCCACTTCCTCCCCCAGCCCACTGAGCTGTGAGCTAACTCATCGGTGCCTTAACCAGTCCTGGAAGCAAACAGACCTAGTCTTGGCTCCAACCCTATCACTCAAGGGAGGCCCAGCTGCCTGCCTCCTAATCGGGATCTGGGGCTGGAGTTGCTTTGGCCCATACTCTGTCCCCCAGGGCCACATGAGGCAGGCTACAGTTTGAGTAGCTTCCCCAGAGGAGCTTTTGCTTTTTATTTTTTTTTAGGCTGAACCAGGGATTGAACTCAGGCCCTTGCACTTGCCAGGCAAGTGCTTATTCTACTGAGCCATCTCCCCAGCCCTGGAGTGCATGTGCTGGGAACTCCATCCCTACTCAGTTTCACGTGATGAGGCCTTTAAAGCAGCTCTCCAGGAAGTGAGGGAGTGTGTTCTCCTGGTCAGATTCATCTCATTTGTTAGCACAGTGGTTCTATAATAAAGGGGAGTCTGTCCCCCTCCTGCTCCCTTGCAGCCTGTCATCATGTGAGGTGCAGCGGGAAGGCCCTCAGATACAGCCTGCAGCTGTGGACCTGCCACCCACCAGATGCTGGAACCAAATAAACTTTTTCAGTTACCCAGGCTGCTATATTCTGAATAGCACAGAACAGACTAAGACAAGGAACAAGCCCTCGCTTGCTGCAGCTCTGTGTCCCTGCCCGTAGAAGGGCCTTGCCTGTGGTCATGAGGACTTCTGCCTAGCAACAAGGCCATCCTTCCCTGTGTCTCTTATGCTGTCTTGTGCTCTGGCTCAGCCACAGCACTGTCCAAATGGCCGAGAGATTGAGACCATCTGCTGCTACCTGGATTCTCCGGAGCTGGCCTGGGACACTTGGCTTGGGTCCTCTTGAGCCATCCAGGCAGGACTCTCTCTGAGCACTAACATTCCAAGGTTTGTGGGCTGGCTTCAGGCCAGCCGTGGGCAGGGAGCGAGGAGGACTGGAGGGACATAGAGAGCTTGGCCTTTCTCCAATAAGGAGTTGCGGGGGAATGTTCAGCTGCCTGCACATGTGACAGGTTGATCAGCCTGCAGGCCCCAAGTGTGGCCCTCCCTTCCTTCTTGTCTCTGGTCCACCTTCTATCCCACTTTGCCTGGCTCTGGGAAGCCCAACCCCCTGTTCTGGGAGGAACTTCTATGATTCTCAGCTGTAGGGGAAATCCACGTCTTTAAAACAAGGAAGGTATCAGGGCCCCAGGACAAAGCATTGAGGGCCAGGAGGGCCTGGAGACTAAGCTCTATTTAACAGAAGGAAGAAAGCTGAGAATGAGACCCAGCGAGGAGAAGGGCCTGTTCATTTCTAGCATGTCAGAAGCAGAGCCGGGCTGGACCCTGTGTTCTTCCCACGGCCTCCTGATAAGGAATCGCCAAAAGCCGTGAGATCTGTGCGGCTTGACGGTAAATCTCTGTCCTCTCCCTTCTTGGCTAACCCCCTTGGCCTGGGTCTGATGACATAACAGAATCCATGTCCCCTGGGAGATGGATGTGCCACTCACATCCCTGGAGGCCCTGGCCCTGGCCTCTGACCCTAGAGGGTCAATGACACAAGAGAAGGTCAGGACTGGTGGGGCAGGGTACACAGTCCCAGGGGGACCCTGACTTCTCCCCAGCCCCTCTGCTAGGCCCTTGTCCTTCTGCTGTCAGGCCTCTCCTTATCTAGCAGGAGTCCAGGCCCCCAGACCTATGCCTTGGCTCAGCATGGGACCCCTAGGCCACTGGCTTTCCCACTCTGGACCTCTGTTTCCCCCTAGGCATCTCTAAATACTTTTCTTGCCTATCTTACCTATCTGCTTGTTGAACTGAACACTAGCTCCTCACATAGGACAGTGAGGTTGAACATGGCACTAGGTTCCAGTCAGGAGCCCACCTTTGTGGTTCTTGAGGAAGAAGAGAGAGAGTGCCACCTATGGGTGCAGCCTTAGGGCTGTTGTGTCCTCAGCTCCCCTCCACCCACCTATCCCTTACTTCTACCCCCTGTGTACTCTCTGTGGGGACACCCTGACCCTGGAGCAAATGCATAGCTGTCTCTGGCCACATGCATCTCCTAACGCTGCTGAGCTGCCCACTCACCAGTACAGAGGCTTGGGGGTTAGGGCTGTGGGCAGCGCTGTGCCAGCCCTGAGTCCTCCCATTCTAGTCAGCAATGGCCTTGAGGTCAGTGCGGCCTTGTTCCCAGCCCAGGAGGTCCTGAGGAAGCATGGGCTCACATGTGAGCTTGTGGCAGGGTTGCACACGGAGCTCTGCACCCCACCCCAGGCTCCCAACCTGTTCCTCCTCAGCTCCCCTACTTATAGAACCCGAACTCTGCCAAGATGTGAAGCCTCCTCTAAGTGTCCAGCCCATACTATTGGACACAAGAACCCCACACCTAGGTCTACATATGGAAGCACCATGAGGAAGGTCAGTATGGCCTTGGCCCCACCCTTTGGCATAGACAGGGGCAACCCACCACAGTAGCCAAGTTGGCACTTTGGGGACCTGAAGGTGTGTGATGCAGAAAGGCTGAGGCAATGGGGGTCACCACTTTATTGTAAGGTCTGGGCTGAGGGTGCCAGGGCCCCTTCTGCGAGGGAAGGCTGAACCTCCTAAATGGGCTGCCTGGCCTCCTGGGAGATCGGTCTCTTCGCATCCCCTGGTTCTCAGGCTGAACATTTTTACTGGTTCTCCAGCAGCCTGTGGCACCTCCACCACCTGCTGTTCATGTGCTTAAGAGCATCCTTAATGGATGATAGACAGCAAGGTGAGTGGCAGGTCACCTGGCACAGCAGGCCTGGGGCTCAGGCCCTGGGTCAGCAGCTGTAGAGCCCCAAGTTGAGGCAGCAGTGGGGGACCCAGTTGTGCCACGCCCAGCCTCAAAGTCCAGGCCCTCATAGATAGTGGGGAGCGAGGTACGCTGGCTTAGCCGCCGGCGCAGGCCGACGAGCAGGGGCTGGGGTAGTGAGGTCACATCCACGTTGTTGCCCAGGTCTACCCAGGCCAGCGCAGGGAATTTGGTGGTATCTTTGACAGCCTCCGTGAGCTCACGGGCAGCAGCCCGGGTCAGCCGGTTGCCATTGAGCAGCAGCTGGGTGAGGCGGGGCAGCATCCACAGGCTGGGCAGCAGCAGGTGCAGGAGCTCATCGCTGAGCCCCGTGAAGCTCAAGTCCAGCACCGCCAGCCCTGCCCCGTGGCTGCCCAGGTAGCGGGTGATGTGCTGTACGTCTCGTGCTGACAGCGGGATGCCCGAAAGGTCCACTGTCTCCCCGATCAGCAGAGTCCTCTGGAAGCCACTCTTGAGGCTGTGGGAGGACAACAAGTGGGATGGACTAGGCAAGGGCCCCAGACCCGGACAGGATTCAAGTGATTACAAACAACGACAGCCTGGTCCCTGTCTGGGAGTAAGGCTACAACTACCATTTTCTACACGCGCAGCCGGGGGCAATTCTGGGAACCTCTCTGGGCTCAATTGTCCTGGAGAAAGAGGACAGGGTTGCTGCAAAGATTAAATTAAGGTTCCAGGTGTGAGCTATGACCGTAAGTCCCTGACTTCCGCACGCTGGACTTGTGAACTTTCACAGATGCATGTAAGACTCGCTTTGTCAGACCTTCGAACAAATCGGACTTAAGAACATTCTCCCAGGATGGAGCTCATTTATATGTCGGGGACTTACTCTATTATTATAAAACCTTACCACGTGTCCAGCATCAGTTATATTTGTTATATAACTGAATATATTTGTTATCTCACTCATTTTTTGCCAGCCTAGGAGGGCGTTCTAGTGAGGAGCAAACTGATGCGCAGAGAGGGAAAATAACTCTTCAAGGACAACACATCACTAAGAGGGGACGAGGTCTCCCCAAGTCAAGGTGCTCTGACTCCTTAGCCCACACTTTCCCCCTGAGCCCGCTTGGAAGTCAGCTCCTTCAGGGTAGGGAAAAGCTTCTTGTGAGGAGGTGGAGGGTGGGGCTGGTCCCCTTGGCCTTTGGGTAGTAAGAGAGGAGCATCAGTGGGCGTGGGGGAGGACTTGTCCAGGGGGAGCACTCCCTGTGTTCTAGGTTGGGAGGGACAGTGGGAGACTGAGGAGGGTCTCTCTTGCCACCCTTCACTTTTTATTCTCTTACCTCACTTGGGCACCACCCGCCGGGCAGATGGGCTGGACGGGGGAGCTGAGAGCAGTGAATGCGCCTCTTGGGTGCCCACCCACCGTAGCAGGGAACAATTACATGGGCTCCAGATTCTTCCTGGACCATCAGAGGGACAGAAGGAGGTAGAAGACTAGTAGGGGCCATGCGCCAGAGTCTATTCCTGGCCATGGTTCTAGGGCCCCAGGCCTGCAGCTACTTCCGGGACGGGCCTGTATGCATGAGGCTGTTATGGAATGATGGGGGTGGGCCCCCACCTCAGTGAGCTATCTGATAGCCTTCGCGGCCTCAGCTTCTAGCAGCCTGGTGATGGTGAATCCCCAAAGGGCTGCAGGACAATTAGGAGTATGGTCTTGGCAAGACTCCGCTGCTCCTGGCCTCAGTTTCTCTCCCTGTCCAATGGGCATGGTGCAATAGACTCTCCCTCCCTCACCACTGGTTATAAAGATACACCTGACACTTGCGGAGTTCTCAGGTGGTGGGTATGAAAAGAGGTCCAGGCCCTGAAACAGGCTAGGGGTTGAGGGATGCATGAATGAAGGGGAGTAGGGCCATTCTGGAGGACATGGGAAGGTATTTTATATAGAGCAGGCAGCTTGGCTTCAGGTGCATCTGCTGCCAAGGGCCAGACAGGCTTCCAGGAATGGAGACTCAGTACAGATGAGAGGAGCAACCAACTGGGTGAGACTGCAAGCAGCAAGCTCTCAGTGAGAGAGGGCCAGTGGCGGGGCTCCCCTTACCAGTTCTGCGTTTTCCTCTGGGGGTGGCTGGGCCCTCGCTGCCGCTTGGAGTGGGGGGTGAGATGGTAGATGAGCTGCCGGCAGATCTTGTCCGAGGATTTCCAGAGCTCATAGTCCTGTGGGTTTGGGGGCAGCGTTGTCACGGTGAGACTCAGGCCCTCTCACCCCCACCCTGGCCTGATCTGGCCCAGAGCCAGAGGAGACTGCCTGCGGGGAGCAGGACAGGCTGGTCCAAAACCCGCAGTGCCCGGCGGGAGGAAGCCTAGACAATGAGCCCTTGTTCCCTGTTCTCAGGCTTAGGGCCAGTGGCTCCAGCTAGCAGCTGGTGGCCTGCACACCCTCGGTACCCCCCAGGGATTTGCCGGAGGAGGAGTCCAGATTAGGCCCCTCGAGGGAGCCCAGCTCCACTGACGCCAGTCCCAGGGAATAGGAAGAAGCCAGGTCAGCATGTTCTTCCTCTCGTTTTCCAAGCTATACCCTGCCTGTGGGCCTGGGTCTGGGCCGATAGGGCCGGGGGGTTAATGTTTTACAGCACCACATCTTGACGCTCCCCATCCTAACTGGGCCCCAACAGAGGCCCCTGCAGAGCCTGGGGGTGGAGTACAGGATGAGCTTTCCACAGAGCTGGCACCAGTCATGCTCCACTACCTGGAATGTTCCTTTATACGGTCATTCTGTTAATAGTCCCAGGAGCACGCGATGCACATGGGACAGCAAGTCCTGGTGGTTACTGTAATAACTGTGCGTAGCCAACTGTATGCAGATGCTAGAGCTGGCAGAGCCTGAAGTGGGCACCTGTTTCATGTAGGGGATTCATTGTGACCAGGGCTCGGGAGCTGCTCCACACAGTCAGGGGCTGAGTGTGTGCTCATGGAAGATGCTGGCATGGGAGGGAGTGGAGGTAGGGAGGGCAGAGTCCAGCTTAGCACGAGGAGGGCCATACCTGTGACCCAAGCTGCCATGGAAGGGTTGCAGAGAGCAACTATCCCCAAGTAGGACAGGGGGAAGTAAACAGAGGCTCCAGGCTGGACCAGCTCTCTTCTGCCCCTGGGAACTCAAGGGCTGCCAGTCCAGATCTTTGAATGAACTTGTCAGAACAGTTTGTTTCCTACAGGGTTCCCCTGTGACTTCTGTTCAACTTGTGTCCTCAGGCTTGCGGCACAGTGGTGCGTGCTACTGTGGAAATGGGTCTATGCTTACCTTCTTGGGGCACTGCAGGTCCCGGGCCAGGTTCACTAGCAGGTCATGGGAGATGGGGTCCACCAGGTTGAGGAAGGTCACGTTCCTATAGAGGATGTCAGTGAGGAGGGTGCCCTCAAGACCCAGGTCCTGTGGGTGATGCAGACATAGGTGAGTGAGCCAGAGAATGAAGCCTTCCTTCTCTGGGCTGGCCCACTAGATGTCCTTCTGCTGGTTCCTGGGTCCCCATCTCCCTTCCTGAGGCTTGCTGGAGTTGCCCAAAGGCAGTAAGTGATACAGCAGCAGGTGGACCCTTTCAATGAGGAGGGGGTCACACACCAGGGCCCTGATGGGGGTAATAAGCAGATGGAGGTGGCAGAGTGTCTTGATATGGCACCTTTCCTTCTCTAGGGCTGTTTGCTCCATTGATGACCCCTGAATGGCAATGTCTCCCATGATTCCTTTTAGGCCCTTTGCCTTCCCTACTATCCCTGAGGTCTCCTGAGGTACAGCAATTACCCCAGCCTGTGGGGATGGGCCTCTCTCCCAGCTCGAATGTTCCAAAAACACTCAGCCTCTTCATGTTCATCCCCTGCCCTGAAGCTGGCCTCATGTCCTGAGTGCCAGTGCAGGGAGGGAGGGAGCAGCCTTGTCACCTTCCCAGGATTCACTTACCATTTCCCCCTTGTCCTCTCTCCCTTGGCTCACTTAGTGGGCCCACTCTTTCCTCCCTACTGCTTCTACTGAGGTCTAACCCCCCTGCATCCTCCTCCCAGGTCTCCTAGTCTCCCACAACCCTCCAGACAGGGCTACCAGAACACCTCTACAAAACACATGAACTTGATGCTGAACCCCTTTGGCGGAGACCAAGTGGTCTGGAAGTGAAATCAGAGTCTTACACCACTGGAAATCTCTAAATTCCCTGTGCCAGCCCCTTCTCCTACCCTTCGATCAGCTCTATGGTTAAGGCACTGGCCTGGCCTTCCTGTCCTTGTCCTTTATGTCCTCCTCCCCATTCCTGTATGGGATCCTTCCACAGGGTCTGTTTAGAGGATGCACTGACAGCTTATGGGCTAGGCACAGCCAGGAGGAAGCTCCAGCCTCTGTGTGTACCCTCCCCAAGCCGATGCAAACTACATGCCCAGGAACAGAAAGGCAGGACCGCAGCTGGTTATGGGGCAGAAGAAGCCCCTTGCTAACCTTCAGAACCCAATCTCTTGGTGACCCAGGTAGTTTTCAAGTTCTCTCTCTCTCTCTCTCTCTCTCTCTCTCTCTCTCTCTCTCTCTGATGTTTCCAGGGAAAATGCCCAGCTGGTGCCTTGGGCTCAGTCTGGCTGATTAGATATTGCACTGCTGTTTGTATTTTCAACACGGTTTGAGTCACAGTGAGCAGCGAGAAGAGGAGGCTGGTGAGTCCCGGCAGACCCAGACAGGGCCCCAGACTGCAGCCTGCCTTCACTGGTCAGGACAGCTCCTCTTAAAGGGCCAGCTGCACCTTTCCAGCCCACTGAGTCCAGACAGGAAAGCTGGGGCTGGAGGAGGGGCAAGCCTGGAAGGCAGGCTACAGTCCTGACTTGCCCAGTTTTCTCTGTGGACCCTAGGCTCACCACGTTGCTCCATGCCTCAGTTTCCCCATCTCCACTCATCTACCTTCTGGAGGTTAAACACCTGCATGCATGGCTGACTTCAGCTCACAGCATTGGGCAGGTGGCGGCTGCAGCTGCTGCAGGAGATGGGAACTAGGCAGAGGAAGAAGTAGTTCACCCCAGGGTGGTTCTGGAGCCCACATTCGTGTTGCTCAAGGCTCAGGAGCGCAGGCTAGGGTGCCCGATGTGTGTGGAACCGGAGCCCTCTTGCCCAAACGCGTCGCCGTGATGTACCCACACCAGACTTGTGTGCTCAGCGGGCACCAGCTGCCTGTTAGGAGGATGCGTGCCTTGTGGCTTTGTCCGTGCTGCCATGGTGCCTCGGTCTGCGCCCGCAGACCTGCGGGGCTGCCACTTCCCAGGGTCCAGTGCTTCCCCCTCTTCCTATTGTTCTTCAAAACAACATTGTTCCCCACTCTGCCCAGCCCTCTTCTTTGCTTGCCAAGGCCTGCATGTGGGCTCAGCTCCAGGCCGGGGCACCCTCGACACACAACAGACCCCAGCCCCTGACACAGAAGCCCCTCCTCCACACAGAGTCGGCCAGCCTCGCCAGAGTGTCTCTCCAGCCCACCGTGCTCTTCCTCCGCCCCTGCAGCCCATCTCGCCCTCGGAAGCCATCCTCCCCGCATCCTGCAGCCCCGGCCCTCCCATCCCGGCCCGACCCCGGCCGCCCGCTCCTCGTCTCGCCTGGCGCAGAAGGCACAGCAGCTGCCTGGCGCGCTCGGGCCGCCGCTCGCGGAGCGTGGACTGGATCTCGCGGAGCCAGCGCACCCTGCGCTCGTAGGGCGCGGGCCCGCCGCCAGC